GATTTTCACTCTAAGGTGCATATGCTTGCCAGAGAGGTGGAAAGCAAGAAATCACCCTTGGGGGGCATGGCCATGACACAGTCCCTTTTCCTCATCTCTTCTTGGGATTTTGGGCATGCACACACATGGGCCCAGCGTTAATTTAAGCCACCGGGTCTGGGACTTGAACCACAGTCAACACGTGGTAGTCCTTCGACACAACCATTACAGTATCGGCTGGTCCCAGTGTACATGGAATGTTAAGCTATACGTCAGTTTTGTTCATTTGGACCCACATACTTCAGTCTGCTCACACGTAGGAGGATTGGGAGCAAAGAGGACTTGCTCATTTTGGATATATATGAACTCTCCTCCTTGTAAGACTTCATAGATGAGAGTCATCTGGGGGGTTCACTTTGCCTGTATTGGGAGGTGGGATTGGAGCCTGTGCCATGCTTTTGCTTGGGCCTAACTAGTTGTCAGTCTGGTGGGCTGTGATTGGAATTGTGGGCCTTGTTAAAATGTTTCTTAGAGCTAGATTGCAAATGTCTTTAGAAAAAATCACCAGGCCATTTGAAAAGTAGTAGGAAAAATCATTAAACCACATTGTCCACATCTACAACTCTCTTGTGAAAGAAGAGTTGCAGGGAATTGTACATTTGTTGTTGGATGAGTATCACTTTGTGCTTCCAGAAACTGCAATGAATAGTCGTTGGGGGAAAAAGATGCCAATTTTTTTGCAGAATTCTACTTCTCAGTTTTCAAATTAATGCTATATTTACTTTCCTGGTGTGCTGCTGGCTTTTAGATAGTTTATGCTTGCAATTTTCCTTAGTTTCGCTTATTTAATGGGTGGAAAATTTTATATGTGGCCTGAGAAAATTCAAGTTTTGGTCCCATGTAACGAGAAAAGTATGGTCCACTTATTAACACTGTTTAGATCTTTAAAAAAAATTCCTTAAACTAGAGATAAATACAAGGATACTTTGATTTTTTAGGTATAAATAAACTGCTTTTTTTGCTTGAGAGTATTTTGCTCACTTTCATCTGAATTTGTGCAGTTTTCAGAGGATTTTCATGGTTTTGATATTAGAGGGTGTTTGAATCTCATGTCAACTAAAATGGGATTCCATTAATTGACAATACGAATAAACATTTTGAGTATGTTTTTATGTGAATGAAGCATCTAAAGGTATCCAAAGGTAATGCAGTGGAATGTGACTGAAATCGGCCATGTGAATCAGACCTTGTGGTGTATTTGTGTCTTGATTTAGGTTGGTTGAAGACTTTCAATGACTACTTTAGAGACAAGACTCAGTATATTTTTAATAACATGGTCGTAAAGCTGAAAGAAGACTCAAGGAGGAAATTTATGTGGTCTGAGATCTCTTACCTTTCAAAGTGGTGGGATATTATAGATATTCAGAAGAAGGATGCTGTTAAAAGGTTTGTTTTAAAACTTTTTTGAAATTTGGTAATATTAGAAATTAATTGTATAGTGAAACACATATTAAATTTTAGAAAGTGAAAGTTCTTAGCTTTCTATCTGAAACTTAAAATATTTCTCACATCCTTTTTTCATTGATTTTGGTTTGTCTCTGAAAAAACAATTTGCAACTTTTTCATTGAAATTCTTATGTTCTAACTTTGTCTTCAAAATGAAATTACTAGATCAAAGGAATTTAATTTTTCAAAGATTTTTTAAGGAGCGTTTAACCAAAATTACCCCCAAATTATTATTTCAGTGCATTTCTTTGTCTTCTATGTAGAAATGTACCAGTTTCTCTGCATGTTAACCAACCTCATTTTTTAAAACCTTGGCAAACTGGATGGTTAAAAAAAAAATAATTTAATTTGCATTTTGATTGGTAAAAATGTTGTATTCTTTCTCATAAAGGCAAGCTAAATTTTTTGTGTCTTGCTTGATTGTACTTTCTCTTACTGATTTGTAGGACTATATATATCACCCTTCTCTTCAAAGTTTTATTTTCTTCTTAATTTTTAGTGCTTAAAATACATAGACTTTTAAAATTCTTATGTAGCGAAATCTATTCTTCTGTTTCCTTTTGTTACTGCTTTGGCTTTTATATTTAAAAATGACCCCCAATCTACAGGTCAGATAAATAGTCCTTTTAATCTTCGTTTTATTGTTTATTCTATTTAGTTATTTATTTTTACCATTTACTATTTTAAATTCTTAAGTTCATTTTTAAAATACGGTATAATGGGAGGTTCTCAGATCACCGTGCACCCCTGCTCTCAGGATTTAAGAACTTGTCTTTTCATGGATTATTTTCTTTTGTTTATTTGACATCGCTTTATTTATTTATTTTTTTAAGTTTTTGCCATAAGGTGCATAGGCTGGAAAGAGGCAGAGTGAGACCTCACTTCCAGGGGATGGCCATGCCTCTGTCCCTTCTCCTCTAGTCTCCTCTAGGGATTTTGGGCATGTAGGCACACGTGCCTGGTGTGATTTTGAAACTGCTGTGTCCAGGACTTGAACCACGGTTGGCCGTGTGAGAATCCAGTGCCTTCATCAACACGCCACCAGCTGGCCTCTGTTTCACATCACTCTTACAGCACCTACGGCAGCAGTCTCCGCTCTCAGTACCTCACACATTGTATGTGGTAACTCTCTCAGCAGTTCTGCGAAGTAGACACAGTGCTGTCCTCACCTCACACATCGGCATGGGTTTGTGCAGATTACCAGCCAGGTGTTCCACGTGGTCCCTGCTGCCCAGCTCCAGAGACTGTGCCCCTGCCGCACTGTCCCACACGATTTAGTAGTTCATCCTGTTCTACTGACTTGAAGTACCGTCTTTATTGCATTTAAATGTGCATCAAGGGGCCAACCGGTGGCATAGTGGTTAAGGTGCTGGACTTTCATGTGGCCGATGGCGGTTTGAGTCCTGGACCTTGTGGCTTGAAACTCATGCCAGATGTGTGAGTGCATGCCCAAAATCCTGAAAGGAGATTGGAGAAGGGGTTGTGGTGTGGCATCTCCCCTGGGAGGGGATTTTTTTTTCACTTCCTTCCCACTGTGTCTCTCTCTGTCTCTGGTGAGCACACATGCCCTATAGCAAACATCTCTCAAAAGAAAAAAAAATAAATACATTGATCCCTGGGCTTTCTGACCTGTTTCATGGACTTCTTGGTTTGGCTGTAATTATTGTGGCTTTATGATATGATTCATTATCTGACAGTTTAAATTTCTCGTTGTCTTTCATTATTGAACCATTCTTTTAATGAGCGTCCATTTAATTTTCCTAAAAAGCTTTAATGAATTTGTTAAGTTCTTCTTTCCCCATCCTTCCCCCCCAAATCTTTGAATTTGGCTAGAAATTGATATAAACTTTTAAAAGTAATTCTTGGAGAATTCATTTTCTATCATATTTATTGGAACCTTTTTTTTTTTCCCCACAGCAGGCTTACAGTGCTTGCGGGCCTGGTTAGGAAGGTGCTGTAAGCGAAGGCTGTAGACTCTTGGGGTACTGGGGTGAGTGGAGGAACCATGACGCCAAAGGGTTAGTCATGCCATGCCTGCCGTGTGTTGCCATGGCAACCAGGGTAGTCAGGATATTTCTCCAGTTCCTCAAGACAGTCTGGTATTCCAAAAATATTATGGAAAATATCTTGACTTTTTACATTGAAATGTTAGCAGCTAATTTAGATGAACACACACAGGTATGCACCTGAAACAAGACGTCATTAAGCGTCCTGTCCAGAAACATGATGTATCTCTGTCTGTCTGTCTCTCTTTTGTCTAAATTTTAAGAGTCAACATTTTTCATGTCTGTTTAGGTCTTACATTGATTACTCCTTGAGAGCAAAAAATTGTATTTTCTTTTAAAAATGATTAATTTTTTTTTTTTTTGGAGAGATTTTCACTGTAGGGCGCGTGCGCTTGCCAGACAGACAGAGAGAGACATAGAGACAGAAAGCGAGAAATCACCCCCCAGGGGGGATGGCCACGCCGCAATCCCTTCTCCTCCATTCTCCTCTCGGGATCTTGGGCACGCACGCACATGCGCCCGACATGAGTTTTAAGCCACCGGGTCCGGGACACGAACTGCGGCCGACTACGTGGGAGTCCAGCGACATAGCCATTACGCTAACTGCTGGTTCCCAAAATGATTAATTTTTTCAGGGATTTTACTTCTAGTTCAGATTTGAAGTTTAACCCATCTGTCGTTAATTTTACTTCTTTATTATTTCTTTCGTGAATCTGTTTTCTTCTCTCCTTTATCTTGATTAGACTGGCTAAAGATTTTATTTACTGTAGTTAGTTTTGGCCTACTCTCTCATGCTTAAAAACCTGTTTATATTTTATTGGATTTTACCCTTGATCTTTCTACTTTATCTTGTGGAATTCTTTGTATCTGGTTTCACTGGTTTTTGTTGTTAAGGTTTTTGCCATAGGGTGTGTGCACTCACTGGAGAGGAGAGCGAGAGAGAGCGAGAGGAAACATGAGAAATCACCGTCCCCCGTTGGGGGGGATGGCCACACCGCAGTCCTTTCTCTTCCATTCTCCTCCTAGGGTTTTGAGCATGCATGTACATGTACCCAGCATGATTTTCAAGCCACCAGGTCCAGGACTTGAACCATGAACGGCCATATGGGAGTCCAGTGCTTTAACCATAATACTACCTGCTATCTCTTGGTTTTGCTAATATCAAATGGTTATAGGTTAGTCCATTTAGTTTAACAGATATTTAGTCCATTTAATTATTTAATGAATAGTTACTAGAAGCACATCTATCTGTGTTTGCCTTTTAGCACTGTTCTAACTAGCTTTTAAATTTTTATATGACATTTTCTCATTATTGTATTTTCCCCTAAATACTCTAACTGTACTTGTTTTTTTCTTTGACTTGAGTATTTTTTTTTTTTTCAATTTGCAAGTTCTATTTTTTATTCCCAGTTACACTTTATTTAAAACTAGCTTTAGTTGCCTGTGGTCAAAGAATATGGACCATACACATTTTATTCTTTAGAGTATTTTGAGTTTGTGTGTGTGACTTAATATGTTACCAATATTGCTAACCCTGTTAACTGATACTTGGAAAAGGAGCGTTAGAAGAATACAGGCTGGTGGGCAATCTGTTCCTTCTGTGTTGTTTAATTGCTGTTTTCATTTCACAGCATACACGTTCCCTAAAACGATCGCTGTTCTGTAAAATTATGCAGTGAGTACTGCAGGCCCAAGGAAAAATGGGATTCGGGCATAGCACTCAAAATTTTGTTAAGGACACACACACACGCACACACACACACACACACACACACAAGACGGGAATCTAAGAAAGCTAGCCCAGTCTGACGTGAGTTAAATTGGTGAAGTAGTGTGTAAAGGCTACCATTTGCAGCCTAGTATTTGGCTTGTGGATGTGGGTGTTGAGAGGAGTACAGATTGTGGGTCACTGTGAAGCGGTGTGCAGTGAGTTCTCAGGAAGGTCGTACAGCAGCTGTGGACGGGTGTGGCTCACATGGGGTGGACCAAGGGAGCCTCAGTGTTGGAGGTGCGCTTCCCTGGTGCGTGGTGCCTGCAGGCCGAAGCTCGGGACGAAGCATCCTGCCTTCACCTGGCACTTCCCAGGGACAAAACGGCACTTAAGCGATGCAAAATATGTTCCCTGATACAGTCACTCTCTTAGGAACAAATGCCAATTTCAAAACAGGCTTTTATGGGCCCAGTAGATGGCATGGACGTTAAGGAGCTGGATCCCACATGGCCACCTGCATAGTTCGAGTCCTGACCAGGCGGCCTGGAAAGAATCACAACAGGTGCGCGTGCATGTGTGCGTGTCCCAGATCCCAGAGGGAGAAGGATTACAGGGTGGCCATTCCCCCTGGGGGTGATTTCTCACTTTATCTCTCTCTCTGTCTCTGGTGAGTGTATACACCCTATAGCAAAGCAAAACAAACAAAACCCAACTCCCTCCCCCAAAACCCAAGCATTTATAGTAGAACTGGACGTATTTTTGCTACTAGTCAGGAGACTAATAAAATCAAACTTCCTTTTATTTGGGGATTTTTTTTTTTGTTCTAGTCAGATCTGTACTTCTTTATTAGTGTGTTCATTTACCCAGTTCAGTGGCCACTTCCTGAGTGTCTGCTGTGGAGCCGGGACTGAGGTTCAGGGCATGCCCCGCCCGGTTCACCCCGGTTGTGTCTCCATCACTGACAGTTTGCCACTCTCCTTCTACTGTTCAGTGTTGCTATCACTACTGTTCTGTGGTTGGTTGGTCGGTTGAATCAGCTTGATTCTCGTTGCCCTTTTGACTTTAAGGACAGTCAGTTTGGAGTAGTAGTTCAAAGGGTTCGCACTGGGGCCAGGCTGCCTGGGTTCCAATCTTGGCCATCTGCTCTGTCACTTTGAGTGGTTACTAATCTCTCTACTTAGTACAGTGCTTGCCAAGTGGGGTAATGCCAGCACGTATTTGAT